ACACATGAAAACGCAAACACATACACAGTATAAGGTCTCAAGTGTGCACTGCAGCTACATCGGATGCTGGTCCTTGTCTGGCGTCCAATAAATTACGAGGCACGGGTAGGTGGTGAGAAGGGGAGGGAGGAGGGGGGGGGAGGGGGGAAGGGCGTGAGAGGGGAGGAGGGGGAGAGGGGAAGGCAGGAGGGGGGAGATGGAGAGGGGTGTAAGGGGCGTGGAGAGGGAGGAGGGGAGAGGGGGAGGCAGGAGGGGGGAGGGGAGGAGGGGAGGGGGCGTGAGAGGGAGGAGGGGAGAGGAGGGAGGGAGGAGGGGAGAGGGGGAGGGAGGAAGGAGGGAGAGGGCGTGAGAGGGGAGGAGGGGGAGAGGGGGAGGTAGGGGAGGTGTGATGGGAGGAAGAGAGAGGGAGCGACAGGGATGGGGGAGGGTGTTGGGAGGAGGTGTGAAGGTGGGGAGAGGGAGAGATAGAAGAGGCAGGGAGGGGAAGGAGGGGTATGCAGGAGGTGTGAAGGGGAAGAGGGAGAGACAGGGAGGGAGAGACAGGGAGGGAGGGATAGGCAGGAGGTGTGAAGGGGAGAGGGAGAGATAGGAGAGGAAAGGAGGAGAATGGAGGGGTATGCAGGAGGTGTGATGGTGGGGAGAGGGAGATATAGGAGAGGGAGGGGAAGGGAGGGTAGGGAGGAGGTCTGAAGGGGGAGAGATAGGAGAGGAAGGGAGGGGTAGGGAGGAGGCCTGAAGGGGGAAAGATAGTGAGAGGAAGGGAGGGGTTGGAGGAGTGTGAAGGTGGGGAGAAGGAGAGACAGGGAGAGACAGGGGAGGGAGGGAGGGGTCTGAAAGGGGGAGAGATAGAGAGGAAGGGAGGGAGGGTAGGCAGGAGGTGTGAAGGGGAGAGAAGGAGAGACAGGGAGAGACAGGGAGGGAGAGGAGGGGTAGGAAGGGTCTGAAAGGGGAGAGATAGGAGAGGAAGGGAGGGTAGGGAGGAGGCGTGAAGGAGAGACAGGGAGAGACAGGGAGAGAGAGACAGGGAGGGAGGGGTAGGCAGGAGGTGTGAAGGAGGAGAGACAGGGAGAGACAGGGAGAGACAGGGAGGGGAGGGAGGGGTTCAGGCAATACAATAAACTGTCTGGACCAGAATGTCGGGTGGGTCTCGCAACCCAGCTTTGATCAAGGGCGTATCTGATACAAGATTGGGCGCTATTGGGCCAAGGGAGGCGAGGGGAGTGGGGGGTGGGGTGGGGGGAAGGGGGGGTGCTATTGGGCCAAGGAGGGCGAGGGGGAGGTGGGGGGGTGCTTTGGGCCAAGGGGAGGGCGAGGGGGAGGTGGGGTGGGTGGGGTGGGGTGTGGGTGTGGGGTGGGGGATGGAAGGTGAGGGAGAGCTGATGGTGAAGGTGAAGAAGACGGTTATGGTGGAGATTCTCTGTCTCTTTTCTCTTTCTCTCTCTTTCTCTCTCTAACACCATTTCCACCTCTCTCTCTCTCCTTTCTTTCTTTCTTTCTTTCTTTCTTTCTTTCTTTCTTTCTTTCTTTCTTCTTTCTTTCTTTTCTTTCTTTCTTTCTTTCTTTCTTTCTTTCTTTCTTCTTTCTTCCTTCTTTTTCTTTCCTCTTCCTTCTTTCCTTCTTTCCTTCTTTCCTTCTTTCCTTCTTTCCTTCTTTCCTTCTTTCCTTCTTTTCTTTCTTTTTCTTTTCCTTTCTTTCTTTCTTTCTTTTCTTTCTTCTTTCTTTCTTTCTCCTTTCTTTCTTTCTTTCTTCTTCTTTCTCTTCTCTCTTCTCTCTTTCTATCTCTCTCTCTCTCTCTCTCTCTCTCTCTTCTCTCTCTCTCTCTCCTCTCTCTCTCTCTCTCCTCTCTCTCTCTCTCTCTCTCTCTCTCTCTCCTCTCTCTCTTTCTCTCTCCTCCCTTCGCTGTTTTTATAAAGGGATACGAATGACTGAGAAATGAAGGAGGGAAAGTAATAGGAAATGGGGAAAGGGGAAATGGAATGAAGAGAGGAGAAAGAGCAACATATGATAAACGAAAAGAGAAATGTGAAGAAGTGGAGAAGGAAGAAGAAAAAAAGAAGAGAGGAAAGGGGAGGGGGGGGGGAGAAAATAAGTAGAAAAGAAATAATAAAAAAGGAAAGAAGGAAAAAAAGAAATAGTGTATAGGAGGAAAGACATAGCAATTTACGGAGAGAGAAAGAATAAATAAAACGCGTGAAAGAAAAAACAACACAGAAAATAAGACACAAAGCCAGCATAAAATAAATCAAATGATAAAAAAAAACATAAAAAAAAATTAAACCAGAAAAGACGAATAAAGGAAGAAGAGAGAGAGAAGAGGAAAAGAAACATCGCACGAAGAGGGGAAGAGAAGGGAGAGGTGAATAAATAGGAGGAAAATTGAAACAAACGGAGAGAGAAACGGAAATATTGCGAAGAGGGGAGGAAGAGAGGGGTCGCGAAAACGGGAATGGGAAAGCAGTAAAGCGAAATAATGACTTTCGTTATGGTGGTGATAGGGATGGTGATAGGATGGTGATGATGGTGATAGGAGTGGTGAAGGTAGTGATAGGATGGTGATAGGAGTGGTGATGATGGGGATGGAAATGGTGATGATGGTGATAGGAATGCTGATAGGGATGGTGATAGGATGGTAATGGTGGTGATAGGAGTGGTGAAGGTAGTGATAGGATGGTGATGATGGTGATAGGATGGTGATGGTGGTGATAGGAGTGGTGAGGTAGTGATAGGATGGTGATGGTAGTGATAGGGTGGTGATGATGGTGATAGGATGGTGATGATGAAGGTGATAGGAATGGTGAAGATGGTAAAGGAATGGTGATGGGAATGGTTATGGTAGTGATAGGAATAGTGATGATGGTGATAGGAATGGTGGTGATAGTGAGAGGAATGGTGATAATGGCGATAGGAATGGTGATGATAGTGATAGGAATGGTGGTGATAATGGCCAATAGGAATGGTGATGATGATAGG